GCGGAACTACTGTTAGATACGCGGGTTCTTTAGGGACACATAATCTGTACCATCGGTTTAGCTCTGAACGCGCGTTCACTTCAAACGTTGGCTTTATACGCGCGTCCTATTCGCTTTGGACTAGCGTCGAACTAGACGCGATAGACGCGAATTTAACGCTCTATTCGCGTTTGGTGTGACCACATAATGAACAGGCTGCGATGTCAAGATTGCAATGCTGGAGTGTGTGTGTTTGTGTGTGTGTGTGTGAGAGAGAGGCGCGGCCGCGATCGAACAGTGGAAACATAAAAAACATAGTTACTCCGTCATTTTGTTCATACAGATCATTAAACCTGCAAAGTGTTTACTTAAATTTGTGTACACTCGCAATAAAACACAACATTGTGCTTTTGTCACACTGTAAACTCTTGTCAAACTGTAACCTACAACTGTCACACAACCAAAATCTCTCTCTCTCTCTCTCACACACACACACACACACACACACACACTGTTTTAAAAGCAAAACATATTTATCCAACTCCATTTCAAAACAGTCTGTGGGTCCCATCTTTTGGACATTCATCGCATTGGTTTTCATTTCTCGTCCTCGGGGCGCTAATCTTACACATTCTACATTGATTAAAAAAGAAAATCGAATGCGTTTTTAATGGTAGTATTATTTTATACAGAAATCAATTATTTATAATTCAGATGAGAATAATGTTACATTGTTAATTAATAATGTTAATTAAAATTAAGGAAAACAAATATATTGATCTGAAATATAGCAAATTCATTTTAAATTAATTCAGGTACAATTACCAAACATCGCAAGGTCTTTTTGTCTTTTTATTAATTTAATTAATAAACTAATTATATAAAACTATTGTCAGTGCACTACAAATAAACTGGTTCTATGCCTTTATTAATAAAACTTATTTAAAAAATAGAATGCCTTCTGCATTTTTGTTTTGCTTTTCCCTCCATTGTACCGAAATCGTACCGAACCGTGATGTCTGAACCGAGGTATGAACCGAACCGTGACTTCTGTGTACCGTTCCACCCCTAATACGTACAGAATATAGGCTACACGCTTGACTAGGACAATTATAAAAAAGTAAAAATTTGTGATGTTAAATTTTTTTTTCTAACAATTACACATGGTGGTCTTCGACACTTCATCCATTTCATAACAAAACTGTATAATGTTTTGTTTGTACTGTCTCACAGAACTGAGCTGTGCTGGTACCCAGTTTAAATTTTAGATAATAAATGTTCCGACAGCCTACTGCATTACGTGATAGGATAGGTCCAGGAAGTCATATTTCATGTTTACTGTCATTAACGTCCCAAAAGCAGAGATGGCAAGACTGCTTTAAAGTGGAAAAAAGTAGACAATTCATTAAAAATCTTTCCTTATTTACACTCAAGGTGGAAGTCAGCAAAAGTCGGAGATGAGATGAGAAGTGGCACAAGTTCATTTATTCAAAATGAGGCTGCCAGCAAAAATCTTCCTATCTTTCTACAATGAAGACTGGGAGGCAAATGCAGCACAGAACATTCAAAATGCATTAGGGTTTTCACAGCCCAAAAAAAAAAGTCCTCTGCGTGAACCAACACAACTCAAAACGTGCTTGCGTAAACAATTAAAATAGCAAACTGCCTGAATTTTAGTCATCAAAAACATAATTTATAAGCATAAATTGATCCATAAATTGTAATTTGATAGTGTTTATGTTTTATGTAGGACACAAAACGCAGAACAGTTGGGTTCCGGAAGTATAAATACCATTCATTTTCTCCATAAGAGAATTGATTTTTAACAATAAATGATAAACCTTTAAAGACAAACCTACTGTGAGGATGTTAATCTATGGTATATTGAAGCCATCAACATGCATCATTTCTGCCTTTTTTTTTTTTTTTTTTTTTTTTAAGAAATATAGCCAAAATAACTAATTTCTCCATCGTTTTCAATTTGATTCATACACAGTCGTGTACCTTTGTCTTTTTGTCTGATTTTCAAATACTTTTTTGCTTCGAATCAGTTTACAATGTTGAGATTTACCTCATAGCTGGATGGTGCGGTTCACAGCTTATGACTCTTTAACAAAGACTTCTACACCAGAACTAGACCCAATAATGAGAAATAATATATTTTTTTCTAAACAAATTTTTTACAAGCAGCATATATTTATCAATAATATCTCAGTAGATGTTTTACCAGTGCCCAATTTTGTTTTACACGCATTTACGGCTCGAAAGAGAAAAACCAAAAAAAACGTGTCCAAAACTGATATGGCCGATTTCAATTCACAATACTTCCAGGGAGTCCTACGGCATCGATCATCTGACATTAAGATGAATGGGAATGTTAACAGATAGATTTCTTCAGGTAATATAGACTTTCTTGCTCTCCTCCAGGTCATGGGGTGGCAGCTTCCTCCAGTGGCTCGGCGTCCCATTGTGCATGCAAACCGCCGGAGGAGAGATGCACTTTAACGGCAGCGGTGACGGGGCACCATTACCTTCAGGTGTACCTCATCCCACACTGCCCAGCCTATTAATCTCTTATGCCTCTGCTCTGGTCAGGAACCTGGCTGCAGGGCAGTGAACAAAATGGACGGCGCGGCTCTGATGTGAGGAAAAGAACGTCACAGGACCACAAACTCCTTACAGAAACTGTGTGTAGAATGCAAAATGAAGGCTTACCTCAAAACTATGACACCACAGCGCCGGAGGATTTTTTTAGCAAACATTTAGATTTTACGACTCTTCCTAGCTTTCTGAGGTCTGACAGTGCTCCTCGGGGAATCACTCAGCTCTTCTGCAGTCGTGCAGATTCAGTGATTTCCCTCGTGGCCGTCTCTTCCCCTGCACTAACTCAGTGGGACTGCTCTTCCTCTCCACTGAAAATGCAGCACTGAGACCAAGATGAGAGGCGTAGAGTGCTGCCTATCTAAAACAGCACACAGGCTATGGGACTGATAAGATACGGCGAGGAGTGGGGCGTTGAGAGAATTAAAACCACTTGAGTGAGGGTGAAATGGAGAGTACTGCAGCAAGTCCAGAAGCGTAACAGATGAATGATACATACAGGGAGTGCATGCAGTAGAAACACAGAATGTTGTTATCGTCCTGTGATAATCAAAATGTCATATTATTCTGGATTATATTGCGTCCTCTTGAGCTAAGAAGCATAACATTGATTTAAGATGCACAGTAGCACCAAATATAGCATAATTCCTGCCTATTCTGTCACTAGCTCATATCTTAGTAACATATAGGGTAGAGGAGAATGGTATTCCTACAATGAAACATTTCAGGATGAGAAGAAAGCAACTGTAACATAGGACGGTAGGAAATATGACTTAAAAATTCTGCCCCACATTAGGAGTAAGCTGCATCATAATAAAAAAAGAGTAAGTTGAATCATTGCGGAACACTTGAATAATTTACATCTGAAATAAAAATATGAATATAAATGAGAAAAAGCAGTTTTCTAAAACACGATCCCATTTCAAAGTCACATTTTATTCACATTTTCATAAACGCTCAATATTCAGCATATTTTGGTAATAGCATTTGTAATATTATTTCCTGCATATGGAAACAAAGCTTAACACTTTACCCCTAAGATACCATTCAGGAAATTCTTCATATATAATTACACTAAATTTAATTAATATAAACCAATTTAAACAGTTTTATACACAGGCAATTCATTAACTTGTGTTAGATATATATCATGTTTGTACTTTGACATGCAAAAAAATTCGTACAATTTCTCATGTGCATCTCTGGCAGGATGTTGTATGTGATGGGCACAGTTTTCTACAGTATATTTAGGAGGCGGCACATCTTACCCCGCTCTCTTTATTCTGTGCCAGTCATCATATCAAGGCTCTATAATAAATTGCAGTTCACTGAGTATCAAATTCTACTATATTGTAATTTTTCAACACCAAAGAATGTTTTTTTAACTCAAATTTAGTTTCCATTTCCAACCATTTTCATCTATGTAGCACACTTTATGAAGTTATTTTTTCTTATTTAGATTTATGAGGTACCCTTTTAATTCCACTTTCTTGACTCTATTTTAATTCAGAATAAGATAGAATACTTGCAATTTGATTCCAAACGTGAAGATTAATAATCGGTGGTGCATCCGAAATCGCATACTGTCTGAGTAGGTACTACATTTGAATTTGAACTTACATCGTGACTGCTACAAAAGTACATTCTATGAATGTGGGCAGTATGAATGAAATTCAAATGTACTACATCCACCATGTTGTTACTGTCACATGACGTGACCTGTCAGCGTCAGTTGCGTCGCTTCACTTCCATTCATAAAACCTCTCCTGTGGCCTCATGGGATAGTAAAGTCCATCACATGTGCACTGTCACCTGATGGAGTTTTGGTTCCTTGCCACAGCCGCCTTTGGCTTTTGGTTTGCTTAGTTGGGGACACTTAATATTCAACAATATTATTGATCTGCCTGCTTTGACACCATTATATGATTATACCATTATATGACGATAACATCACTGTTTTCTCCAGAACGACCATATATTTAAAAATATATAAACTTTTTTACAACAAAAATGAACCATCACTGAACTTACTAAATCTGGACTATGACGCTATTTTCTTCTGGATCTGCTGTACAGCCATTATTTTATCACTGTAAAGCTGCTTTGAAACAATCTGTATTGTAAAAAGAGCTATATAAATAAAGGTGACTTGACATAACTTCAGAATCTCTGCGGAAGTAGTAGGTCATCTGGGTACTTTTCATTTACTTTTTAATGTACTCAGACATACTACTACTGTTTTCTTGCATACTAGTTGGGAAGTATTCGGTTTCGGACACAGCGAATGAAATTTTCAAATTCTAATCTTGTGCAAATATGCCATCTCACCCACTAGAAGTCCTGCGATGATACCCATCAATGAGCAGCCTCATGCTGATGATCGAAAAACAAAAGAGGTCAGTAAACACCGAGAGCCTCACCTGTGGCCGTGGATGCCCAGACACCAGACAGGTCAGCTCCAGAGTCTCCCCCTCCCGGATGGTGTACACCCTCTCTGTGTAGCGTTCCTCCTCAATGTTGCATGCGTGACCGGAGTGGATGATCCGAACGTTTGGGGGAGCTGCATTAGGGAAGAAATGAAAAAGTGATATAGTTCAGTTTGCCGGATCATTTGAGGTTGCATCATCAACCAGCCACACTGCAGAAAGCTGTCATGGAGGGAAATAAAATCCCTGCCATATGAGACTGATGCTTTCAGCCAAATCAAATTCAAGGTGAGGCACTGCAATCATTCACCTTAACTCCAGCGGATGTAATTTGCACTACACCAGTTGTTCTGTATGTAGAAAAATCTTGGACTTGCATTTCCAAGCAATTTCACAGACAAAAATACCCTCATCTAAGCATTACCTAATAGCACATCTCGAAGATGCGTAGGCGACTGATGAGGAAAAGTGCCTGTATTATTGATTTCCCCTCTAAGCAGGAGAACGGAGCTCCGCTGCACTGCAGTGTGGTTGCTTGATGATGTTTCCTCCACTAATCTCCACTTACCAAGCACTTCAAGGATGCAATTTTTTTTAAACAAAAACCCACATATTCTTATTGATGCCACTTCGGGTTTTCCATTGTTAACTGAATTATTGTACAGATTCATTACAGTGATACAGAAAAAGTACCACAGTAAGCTTAAAATAATAATTGTAAGGCACTTCAATTCTTATAAAAAATGCATTTTTAAATGAGTGAGAGAGATTTACGGAGTAACAAAATGAAAAGTACCAACGCAAGTAACGTATATATTGAATGAAAAGGGGCAACAAAGACAATCTCAATCACAACAAGGAGATAAAGGGGCGGGGAACATGTAAAAAATGACTGATGACCATAAATAATAAAAATGACACAAGGACGTTATTGAAACTCTTACTTTACTTATAGCTGATTATTGTTGATTTGAAGACATGCAAATTGTAATAAATGATAATAAGATTTGTCATACATTTTGAAACCGACTTTTAATGAATCAGTCGATTGAATGATTTAATGAAAATGATCAATTAAAATGTATATTAATGTTTTCAGAACATATTGCCTCAATGTAGTTACTACATACATGTAGTTAGCTACTTTTTGTTACTAGCTTATATGGAACGATACAGTTTCAAAGAAGTTCCCCAACACTGGTGAGCACTATTGACCCTATGGTTTTGTTATGTTTCTGTTGTTTTGGGAGTGTGTGTGTGTTTCTGTCAAGGATCGTCTACTGATTTGTTCCTGGAGGCCTGATTGGTGCACAGTACTTTAAAAAGCACGCCATCACTTCCTCTGGAGTCATCTTGTGTTCAGAGTAGAGAGAGTTTGATTGCATAGAGCAGAGTTTGTGTTGAGGTTTTAAAATAAGTTTAAGTTTAAAATCAGTTTTGTTTGTTATTTTGGCCCAGTCAGCTCCTGAATCTAGAGTCCCAATTTAAGACAATAAATTCATCATAGTTGGTCCAAACTCACTACATTCCAGAGTCTTTCAAGTTGCACCCTTTTCCCTTAACAAGCACACAGAATTTATCAGGACTGACACCACCTGGAATGAAGACATTTCAGAGATCTAATAGTGCTCACCAGGCTACTGCAAAGAGTTTAGGAAATGACAGGAAACTGTGCCAAAATGCATTATGTTGCAAGGTCTCCTCCTGAATGCCAGATGAAACAAAAGGGGGGAGAGAAAAAAAAAACACATCAAAAAAAGCATTCTCTTCCAGTGTGCCAGCTGCCTGCACTGCATCGTCCTAGTTTCACACCATCTATTTTTAGAAAGTCAGTGTCTATCTCACAATCCACCATATGACTCTGCTAATGTCCTTCCATATGACGGCAAGAATTCAGGAAGCAGACATCACTGAACAGGCCTCAAAGGGACACACAGAAAGTGGTCTTTGGATTATTATTGATTAAAGAGGCAGCATTGAGTGCTTTCTGACGTCTACACTACACTACGACATCTGGATGCTCCCTGCAGACCCGCTCATATATGCAGAGGTGGATTATCTTATCTATATGAGTTACACGATAACGTCATGAGGGAATTATTTGACATAAGCATTACAAACAGATATGCCAGGGCATATCATTGTTTGCTAATCTTTCAAGTGTCAACACAAATGAACTCATATTTTCACACCAGACCAATGTCCTAACGTGTTTAGTATACCCTACTTGAGTCATCTAAATAATTTGTAATATACATTGCAGTTTGCTATTTCCAGCTAAATGAATAAAATATAAATATGTCAACATATTCTAGACTTGTGATGGTGTGGAATATTTCAAACCAAAATGGCTGCTGCTTTGGTTACTGTAACGATACCCTCATGTCATGATTCGATACATATCACGATACTGAACTCACAATATAATATTATTGCGATACTCCAAGACATACGGTAAAAGGTTAACGAAAAATGTACTGTTGATTAAAATGCTAAATTTCTTATTACATTGGGGGTAGAAATGAATAGGCTTGGACTTGGTGCTGGTAAACCAAATGCACAGGACAATAGTGACACCAGAATAAAACTATTCATGATTCTGAAAATACAGAACTATTTTAGACCAATATGCTTGCACTCTGTCACTGACTAGATATATTTTAAATAATGTAGGCCACTTTTTACTGGTAACATAAGACATTTGCCATTATCAGGACCCACAAATATTCCCCCATTGCATTATTATATATTTTATTCAACATTATATATAGTAGTTTAATGTAGTACTGACACTAAAACTCGTATGTCTCCCAGCTGGCCTGGGAACGTCTTGGTATTCCCCCAGAAGAGCTGGAGGAAGTGTCTAGGGAGAGGGAAGTCTGGGCGTCTCTGCTTAGACTGCTGCCCCAGCGACCCCGGCCCCGGGTAAGAGGAAGATGATGATGGCCCCTAGTTACTGTACATCCTCAGATCTTAAGCATTCAAGAGTCAACAATATGACAACATTCTATAAATAGAGGAAACATTAAAAAAATATATTTTTTCTGTCTATTTCGGGACAGGGTGAATAGGTTTTTCTTTATGAATCCTGTCAAGCATGAAAAAACAACAAATTCTGAATATTAGATAAGAGTAAAACTTGCCAAGTTGGCTCCTCTAAAGACCTAAATTATGTCACTTCCTCCCTCCATATCTCATAAGTGTTGAGGAAGAGGGAAGTCAAAACTCACATACACGTATTAAATTATTTAATTAACCATATAAATGTAATAAACTATTTAATTAGCTGTTTAATTCAAATTAAGAGTCAGCGTAGCTTTATTATCATTTCAGCTCTATACAGCCTGTGAAATGAAACCGCGTTCCTCCAGGACCATGGTGCTACATAAGACAAACACTGGACCCAGGACTAAACTGTACATAATTCAATTATATTAAATAGACTAAACAAAAGAGTTAAATAGGAGCTAAAAAAGGAACCAATAATAAGAACTAAAATATGAATTGAACATGTATACGCATTTATACGCACACAGACTACACAAAGTGTAGACAGTGCAAACAGCATGAGACAGTACAAATTTAACATAGAACAGGGCATGGTAATAAAGACAAGACACAGTAGTGGGGAGTTTTTGAGTGTGCAAATGTGCAAAGTTTATGTTCTAAGATTGATAAAGTTAATGTGAATGTATGTGTGTGAGTGTAGTTGTCAGGCCGGTCACATGGAGTTGAGGAGTCTGATGGCTTTGGGGAAGAAACTGTCACGCAATCTGACCACGAGGGCCCGAATGGTTGTTATATAAATATAAGTGATCTAGTATGAATGAATGGAATATATACAGCACAGTATACAGTATTTTATCATTTAACATTTAATTGTGTTAATACAATTAAAATATATATTTTACATGTCCATGACTGTGAAATGCATGAATGAATATAACGTAAAAAATATTATTATAACATATAAAAAGACTATAATTAATTGAATTAATATAAACATGTATATAAATATTTCTGTTTAGTGCGCTTCTTCAAATGACTCAAACAGTGCACCTGTCATGGAATGAATCACCTAAATATTTTTTACCCCAACCCTCATGACATTTTAATCATTAATCAATTAGCATTTCTTAATTCTGTCCAGTGGATTTCCGCAGCGGGAACTGAAAAGCCCTGTAGATCAGATCATGTTTCCATAGCATCCATATTCACAACAAATCAACACTCCAATCTCTTGTCATCACATTACATGTCAAGTATAGCACCGTCTAGAGAATGTGAGAACATATTCTATTAAATAAATAAGGCTGAACTCTTAGTTTAATTTCCTGGAATGTTATTAGTATCTCCGAAAGCAGTCGATGGGCCGCGTGTTGGAGTTTCCTGCCCAGATCAATCAAACCGGCGGCTGTGTGATTGCCTCATCCACTCTGGAGGGTGATTCAAGTTTGGCTCTGTATCGCAGTCAACCCTGCGTGGGAAATTGAAGCGCTTTTGGATGTCCTTCCAATCAAACAAGCTTTGATTTCAATGGTAATATCTGCCTGCTTCCCCACCCAAAATTGTTCATGTGCCTGCAGTCCCATTGAGAGGAACAAGGATTTATGATCACTGTCTGATACAATTAAGAAACGCTTTAGTTTAAAAGTGATCGATTCATGTTAATTTCTATTTCATCCAGAAAACCAGTGAGTACAAGGACAAGTCACTTATATAATACATAAAATAGGTATCAATAAACTGAATCAGTTAACATGGATACACATGGGAGGTTTCAGTGGACTGGGTGGGCAATATAAACAAAATATTCATGATATGCAATTATTTTTTGTATTAAAATGCAAATTCTTTGCAATTTTTGCATTGTTGTTTTTTTCATGTGCTTTTTCTTTGGCCATTAATTTTCATAAAAAGAGTGTTTCAATAGAATAATTGCTTGAAATGATTAGAAAAAAAATTGAATCCAAAGCAAACTGAATAAAAAACATATTGAGAACTAGGCCTATATCATATATTGTAAAGGCTAAAAAAAGATGTCAAGACCAGCCCTGCTGCGTAGTATGATGAAAATTGCTGGTAACATTTGTGTTCTGATCACGTTACAAAAGTGAACATCTCACATGGTATT